ACTTTCCTCGCCGCCCCGCGCGCCCGCCGCCCGCGCCTCCCCATTGGCAGCGCTCCGCACGGACCGCGTCCCCATTGGGCGGCGCTGCCGGCGGCCACGCCCGCCCCGCCGGGAGCCGGCGCCCGGTGTCCCCTCCGTCCTCCCGCACGTCGCCGCCGATGGCGCCCGGCGCGCTGCGCTCTCATTGGCCGCCCGGCGCGAGGGCCCGCCCCCCGAGCGCTGCTATTGGCCAGGGCGCGCCGGGGCTCGTTCGGTAACGCGTTAGGCAACTCCGCGGTAACTCGTCGGGAACCGCCCGGGCTCCGCTCCGCCGGGGCTCGGGGTCCGGCCATCACCGGGGGCAGCGGAGGGACCGTGCCCCGACACCTCCCGCCGGCGCCCGGAACCTCCGCGCGGCGGGCGCGTTCCCCGCCGAGCCCCGTCCCGTTGTTATGACGACACGGCCGTAAAGCCGCCATCTTGCGGCGCGTTGCGACACGGGGGCCGCGATGGCAACGGGCGCGGGGCCGGCGGCGCTTACGGCAGAAGCGGCCGGGCCGGGCCGGGGAGGTACCGCCCTCACGGGGCCCCGGCCGGCACCGCCAGGCCTGGCGGCGGCGCGGCCCGGGGGGTGAGGGGGCCGGGCCGGTGCTGCCCGCGGGGGGCGGGAGGCGGCGGGGTCTCCGCGTGCCTGGGCCGGGATCGCCGCGCTCCCCTGCAGCATGCCCGGGCCGGGTGTATCCCGGGACAGGCTGGGATCGCACGGGGTCCCGGGCCCGGTGCGCTGGCGGGGCCGAGCGCGGAGCGCACCGCGGGCCGCGTCCCGGCCCCGCTGACGGCGCTTTCCCCGCAGACGAGGATGACGTGCACAGGTGCGGGCGCTGCCAGTCGGAGTTCAGCTCGCTGCAGGAGTTCGTGCAGCACAAGCTGCAGAAGCGCTGCCAGCGCCCTCCCGACGCGCTCGCCGGCCTCCTCGGCCAGGAAGGACAAAAGGTGACAGCGGCTTCTCCCAGCCGGGGCTGGAATTAATTAGGATGCAACGGTCTGTTGGGTTGGAGGGGAGGGAGCGGTGTGCTCAGACGAGCAGAACCTGCCTGCTGAGAGGTGCTCTGTGCCGGCAGGTGGTTCCTGCTGTCGAGGAGTCCATCACTGTTGCTCACATTGTCGTTGAAGCATCTTCCATAGCAGAGGAGATCAGCAACGCCTCGGCCATCGTAGGTGAGCTCTGGCAGTGCCTTGGCATCCCCAGGGTGTCTGGTACCCGTTCCCTCATCTGTGACCTCTTCTGATGGCTTTGGGGCGTGGTTGGGTGGGTGACACCTCCGTGTCACTGGGATTTGGGGCTGTTCCCACAGAGCTCTGGGAGGCAGCCCTGGGGCAGCTCTGCAGTCCTTCCCCATCAGGGCCACGGAATAGTCGTGGGATGGGTTGGGTTGGGAGGGGCCTCAAAGCCCACCCAGTGCCACCCCTGCCTGCCAGGGACACCTTCGACTGTCCCAGGCTGCCCCAAGCCCTGTCCAGCCTGGCCTGGGCACTGCCAGGGATCCAGGGGCAGCCACAGCTGCTCTGGGCACCCTGTGCCAGGGCCTGCCCACCCTCACAATTCCTTTGCAATACCTATTCTAAAGCCACACTCCTTCAGCTTAATTAATACAACTAATTAATACAAATTAGATGTTAAGCTCTGTTCCAGAAAATGCCCATGGGCCTGCCCACCCTCACAATTCCTTTGCAATACCTATTCTAAAGCCACGCTCCTTCAGCTTAATTAATACAAACTAGATGTTAAACTCTGTTCCAGAAGGTGCCCATTTATGCTGCTATAATGAGAAGGTTGCAAAGACTCAAGTGGCATATTTAAGATATCTTTTCTCCTTCCTTCATGACCTGCTGAGACAGTAGATGGTTTGTTTCCTGCAAAGAACCCAAGTGTCTCCCCACCTTTTCCCAGGCAGTGGGCACATCAAAGAGGTCATTGTAGCAGGAGACCATGTGTTTGAGAACCCGAATGGCCACGTGGATGGGGAGGTCAGTGAGGAGCAGGGCAGCCCCGAGGAGCAGGAGCAGGACATTTCCAGCGAGCTGATCAAGGTCAAGCTGCAGGTGAACAAGGAGGGGCGATACGTGTGTGAGCTGTGCCAGAAGACATTTAAAACTGTGAGTATCCCCTCTGCTGGTGTGGGTTAGGGAGCCTTTTAGGCTAAGAGATGCCAAGACTCAGTAGCAGCGTAGCTTTACTGCCTGCCACACTTCCCAGAGGGAAGTTCTGCCTTCACAAGGAGCCTTGTTGTTGTTCTTTACAGCTAAAATGTAAAATCTTCAAACTCTTTGGAACGTCTCTTAAAGGAAATTCTTTCCCTAGGCCAGCATCCTCAAAGCTCACATGATCACTCACAGCAGCAGGAAGGACTATGAGTGCAAACTCTGTGGGACTTCCTTCAGGACAAAGGGGTCTCTGATCCGACACCATCGGCGGCACACGGGTAAGAGTTCTGCCAAACAGAGCTCCTTGTTACTGGAGCTGTCTGTGGTTATCCATTTGCCTTCCAGTGGAATTCCTTGCTGCTTCCCATGTTTTGCTGAGCTGAGACCATTGAGCTCCCCAGAATTCAGGGTGCTGGGAGGCAGTGGAAGGTTCTGGGATAGGCGCAGTCATGTGCTGTAGAAAGCTGAATATGTTCTTCAGGCTGTCACACAGAGCTGATGCTGGCATTGATGGCTTTAATGTAGTTGTTTGATTCTTGTCATTTCCAGATGAAAGACCTTACAAATGCAAGAAATGTGGGAAAAGCTTCCGGGAATCAGGAGCTTTGACTCGGCACCTTAAATCTCTGACACCTTGCACTGAAAAAATCCGCTTCAACGTGACCAAAGAAATAGTTGTCAACAAAGATGATCTGCCCTCAGGTCAGTGATGCTGCCAGGACCTGCCTCCTGTCTGATAAAGCCAAACCCTCACAGCACTTGGAATAGAAATTCCTTCTGGCACAGGGTGCCCAGAGCAGCTGTGGCTGCCCCATCCCTGGCAGTGCCCAAGGCCAGATTGGACAGGGCTTGGAGCAGCCTGAGATGGTGGAAAGGGAAAGTGTCCCTGCCCATGGCAGGGGGTGGCACTGTAAGATCCCTTCCAACCCAAACCATTCCATGATTCTTATTTATGATAAGAATTATTCCCATGGTTTTGAAATTTTATTTTCTATACCAGAAAAAAATAATTTATAGAGCAAAGTTATTACCTTGAAGTCGGGCGTGAACTCAAGAATGTTTGAGGATCTGCTACAAAGGTGGTGTTAGCAGGCACCTTGTGCTCTAAGGCAGATTTTTTAGTGCACAGGGAGTTGCTGAGGGGGGCATTTCCCCACGTGGATCATCCTTGCAGGGCCCTGCAGCTCCAGCACAGACACAGTGTCCTCCATCGCGAGCGAATCCATCGAGGCCTCCCCTGTCATCCACCTCGTGACAGATGCAAAAGGCAACGTGCTCCATGAGGTCCACGTCCAGATGCAGGAGCTTCCCGTGCTGGATGCAAAACCCCTGGAGCCAGATGTGAGTGTTGTTTGCCTCAAACACCCTCTGTGTGTTTTACACAAAGAACGTTCCACCTCCTGAGCAGAGGTACTGACAGTAAATCTGAGTGTGGAATGAACTTGGTGGACTTGTCAGAGTACAGATCCACCTCATCCTCTTCCTCAGCCCGAGGTATTTCCTGGTTGATCTTTTCAACCCCATAGCACAGCACTGGACACCCCAGAGAGAGTGGCCCTGCAGCAGTGTTGCTGTAAAACGTTGTGGGTTTGCTGTGCCCAACTTGCTCTTTGTTCCTTCAGCAGCCGCATCCCGAGGAGCTGCCCTGCGAGGGGGAAGTGAACAGTGAGAACCTGCTGAGGCAGGCCATGAGGAATTCGGGGATTGTCATCGAGAGAGTGGCCGTGGAGGAGGTGCAGAAGCCAGAGGAACCTTTGGCAGCTGCTCCAGAAGAGCTGGAAAACAAAGGGGTGGAAGTAGAAGAGGAGCCGTGTGGGGAGCAGTGTGCTAAACTGGAAGGAGCGGAGTCTGTATGTTTGTATTCCATCAACAGATTAATTTTTTAACCTTCCTTGTCTGTATTTGGCTGTGGGCAGTAGATGGTTTGTTGTCCTTATGTGTTTGCCTGTGCCTGTGTCAGGTTTTAAGTTACATTGTGCAGGTGTGATTTAAGGGAAATGTTCCTTCACACACGTGCTGTCTCTTTTCACAACAGAGATCTCTTTCCTCTCAAAGCTGGAGTGCTTAATTGGGAATTTGGGTAGCAATCCTAACTGGACACACCAGTACAAAAATAAAAAGCAGTTTTCCCATTTTCTCTCCAGCAGACACCTGCAGAAAGAACCAATGGGTACAAACGTTACATTTGCTCTCACTGTAATGAAGCCTTCAATGAAGCTGCTGCCCTGGAAACTCACAGCAAGAGTCACACAGGTAAAGTGCTGCTGGGGCTGCTGTGTGACACCAGCTGTGGCTCAGTGACCTCAGCCATGTACAGCTCCCCTGATCAGGAGAGACTGCAGGAGCTGGGCCTGGTCAGTCTGGAGAAGGGAAGGCTGAGAGGGATCCATCAATCCATACCAATCCCTCCCAGGGGTGTCAGAGATGGTGCCAGACTCTGTTCCGTGACAGGATGAGGAGCAATGGGCAGGAACTAAAACACAACAAGTTCCATGTTGACATGAGGAAAAACCATTTTGCAGTGAGGGTGGCAGAGCCCTGGACACGTTCCTGTGTCACCTGCTCCAGGTGACCCTGCCTGGGCAGGGGGCTGGACTGGATGATCACCAGAGGTCCCTTCCCACCCCAGCTATTTTGGGGTTCTGTGAAAGCCCACACACGTGGTTGACAGTACAATTCCTCCCCTTCTCCAGCTCCCTTTTTGTTACAATTCAGTTACTCCTGTACCACCTCCTGTGTGCTCGCCCTGGATCAACCACACATTTTCCCCTCTGTCCCTCCAGAGTACAAACCTTTCAAGTGTGAGGAGTGTGGCAAGGAGTTCACCAAGGGCTACCTGCTGAAGAAGCACCAGGAGGTGCACGTGAACGAGCGGCGGTTCCGCTGCGGGGAGTGTGGCAAGCTCTACAAGACCATTGCCCACGTGAAGGGGCACCGGCGGGTGCACTCGGACGAGCGGCCCTACGCCTGCCCCAAGTGCGGCAAGCGCTACAAGACAAAGGTGGGCCCCCCTCCCAGACCTCCTCACTGGCATCCCCAGAGCCAGGCTTTGGCAGAGGGCAGGAGGCTTTGCTCCTCAAAGAGCTCGCCTGTCTCTTGCAGCCCGGAGAAGTTGTGGCTGCTCCATCCCTGCAAGTGTACAAGGCCGGGTTGGACAAGGCTTGGAACAACCTGGGATAGCGAAAGGTGTCCCTGCCCGTGGCAGGGGGGTGGAACAAGATGTTCCTTAAGGTTCTTTCCAACCTAGACCATTCAGTGATTCTGTGAGCTGAAACTCCAGAAAGATGTTTTGGCTTAGTGGGCAAAGGGAGAGTCTTTGTAAAACCATCACATTTCTGAAGAAACTGTTCCTTCGTGTGTGGAGCAAATATGCAATAACAGTGTCCTGGTTCTGGCCAGGACTGGGTTAATTTTTGCAGTAGCCAGGAGGGTGCATGGCTAGAACATTCTGGTGTGGGGGAAAGGGGTTCCTTCTGTCTATTATTAGGGCAGGTGAGTTGCTCATCTCTTTCTTGCACTCTCTGTCATCAGTAGTGGTTTTTTATCTTATTTCTCTTTCTGGTAAATTGTTCTTATCTCAGTCCATGATCTTCACATTTTGTGCCTCCAGTTCTCCTCCCCAGCCCACTGTGAGGGGAGGGAGAGAGGGAGAACAAGTGAGTGGCTCATGGTTTGGAGAGGCATGGCGTGAGCACTGACTTGGGAAGTACCATTCCTAAACCACGCCCCAAGAAAATCATCCTCGTGCCCTATAATAAAAAAAAACGGAGTTCCACCCTGGGAGCAAAACCGCGCGTCCGTGAGTTGGCCGCGTCCTTCCTGAGCCCTTGCCTTGCCTCCCTGCGCGTGCAGAACGCGCAGCAGGTGCATTTCCGTACCCACCTGGAGGACAAGCCCTACGTGTGCCAGTTCTGCAGCCGGGGCTTCCGGGAGAAGGGCTCCCTGGTGCGCCACATCCGCCACCACACCGGCGAGAAGCCCTTCAAGTGCTACAAGTGCGGGCGCGGCTTCGCCGAGCACGGCACCCTCAACAGGCACCTCAAAACCAAAGGTGAGCAGGGCTTGCACCTGGGAATGGTGCTGAGGGTGGATCTCAGCAGCTGACAGAAGCAGAGGACGCGGTCTCAAGCTGTGTCAAGGGAAGTAGAGCTGGGATATTAGGAAAACGTTTTTTACAGGAAGTATTGGAATGGCTGCCCAGGAGGTGGTGGAGTCACCATCCCTGGATGTGTTTAAAACAAGAGTGGATGTGGCAGTCAGTGCCGTGGTTTAGTTGAGGTGTTGGGGCTGGGTTGGATTTGATGATTTTTAAGGTCTCTTCCAACCTGGTCATTCTGTGAATTCTGTGGATCTGATGACCCACATGGAAGTGGGCATGTTCTGGGAAGGAAGTGTCTGGGTAAAGTTCTCACCAATCATCTGGTTTGGTGGGATTAGTTGAACTGGACTTGCTGCTCTTTTAGCTCCTAAGCAGGGATTTCCAGACTTCTTCAGGTAGTGCTGACAGTGTTATTCCAAAGGAACAATGCAAGTTTACTGGAGGAAAAAATTGACTTTTGTAGGAGATACTGAGATGTATCAGCAGAAAAGATCAATTATTTAAAATATACCCAAATTCCTCCTGTATGTTCTTCACACATGGCTTGGAAACTCTGAGTGTTTTTACCACCTGAATTTACCCATGTGGTGTTTGGAGTTGCACTGGACAGCTGCCCTGCTCCTGGTGTCACTGGGACTCTCCTGGGCTGTTCCTTGGCTTGTCCTGGTGGGCCAGGAGCCCCTCAAGTGCCACTGGTCACTCGTCCGTGGCATCCCCTTGCTGGTGCTGTGTCACATCTTCCAGCTGCTACTGGAGATGGTCACAAAAAATGATGTTTTTCTGGACTTGCATGCAGGTGGCTGCCTCCTGGCTATGAAAGAGGTGGAAGAAGTGATAGTGTCAGAGGAGAGCCAGTCTGCTGACAACCTGGCAGCCACGGTCCTTTCGGAGGATCCGCACACGGTTCTGGTGGAGTTCTCCTCAGTGGTGGCAGACACCCAGGAATACATCATCGAGGTGAGGAGGGGCAGCCAGCCTGCTCATTGGGAGCTTAGCACAGGGTTTGGTCAGGAAAAACTCTGCAGTTGTTCACCTTCCTGCTCCAGGCTTTTGGGAGAAGGTAAAACGGGCTCTGCCCTGCCTGCATGGCCCCAGGAGGCAGTGGGATCAGCCTTGTTTGGAAGGAAAGCACTTGGAAGCTTCCCCACCCTCCCCAAGTGCTGTGTGTGCCAGGAGGCTGAGCCTGAGAACTTCTGACCACACCAGATTTTAGGTCCTCACAAGCTTGCTTCAGCTTTCCCTCCCATTTTCTCCCATTTCTATTGGCCTGAGAACTTCTGACCACACCAGATTTTAGGTCCTCACTTGCTTCAGCTTTCCCTCCTATTTTCTCTCATTTCTGTTTATCTTCCTGTGTCCCAGATAATCTCTGTTGTTTTTAACAGAGGCTGCCAAAAGCAATGAATTCTGCATGTCACACAGAGCCAGTTCTCACCCCAGCAGGGTAACACAGCTCAGTTATTGAGTGCTGCTGTAGTTCTTCTCCAGTAGGAGAAAAATCTGCTGCGTGGCCAAGTGCTGAGGGAGGACATTCTCTTTCAGTTATTTGTCAACATTGTGCATTCCTTTTAAGTAGTTCCTGATAATGGGATTGGAAGGGAATGTCAAGGAGTTGTCTTTGGAGTAGCTACTGCATGCTAGTAGATCTTGTGTAAAAGATCTGAGTGAATTATATCTTAGTGATAAAATTCTTTTTATAAGAACCTAAAAAGAGAATAATCTTGTCTTCCAGACTTCTACCGAAGACATGGAGACCAGTGAAGCTACTGAAATAATAGAGGGAACAAGACATGAGGTAAAGCAGTGACAGGAGGGGTGACACACTGCAGAGCCTGTTGCTGGGGTGAGCAGCCTGGAGCAGAGCTGCTGCCGTCACTGCCCGGTGCTGGCAGGCCCCCGAACGCAGCAGCCTCAGCTCAGCCCCTGTCCCCTCGCAGGTGGACAGCCACATCATGAAGGTGGTGCAGCAGATCGTCAACCAGGCCAACTCGGGCCACCAGATCATCGTGCAGAACGTCACCGTGGCCGAGGGCGCCGCGGCCGCCGACGCCGCCGACGCCATCACCATCGCCACGCCCGAGAGCCTCACCGAGCAGGTGGCCATGACCCTGGCCTCGGCCATCGGCGACGGCGCCGTGCTGGCCGCCGAGGGCGGCCTGGCCGCGCAGGAGGCCACCGTCACCATGGTGGCGTCCGAGGACATCGAGATCATGGAGCACGCCGGGGAGTTCGTGATCGCCGCCGCGCAGGAGGGCGAGGTGGAGGTGCAGACCGTGATCGTGTGAGGGACAGCAGCTGCACACCTGGGCACTGGGGCTGCTCGGGGAGCCTGGGGAGTGCTCAGGGGACAGGGCAGGCCCGAAGGGGACAGGGCGGGTCTGAAACGGGACAGGGCAGGCCCAAAGGGGACAGGACGGGTCTGAAACGGGGCAGGACAGGTCTGAAACGGGGCAGGGCAGGTCTGAAACGGGATAGAACCGGCCTAAAACAGGACAGGGCAGGTCTAAAGTGGGATAGAACAGGTCTAAAGTGGAGGGCAGGCCCAAAGGGGACAGGGCAGGTCTGAAACAGGACAGGGCAGGCCCAAAGGGGACAGGGCGGGTCTGAAACGGGACAGGGCAGGTCTGAAACGGGACAGGACAGGTCTGAAATGGGATAGAACCGGCCTAAAACAGGACAGGGCAGGTCTGCAACGGGGCAGGACAGGTCTGAAATGGGACAGGACGGGTCTGAAATGGGACAGGGCAGGTCTGAAATGGGGCAGGACAGGTCTAAAGTGGGATAGAACAGGTCTAAAGTGGGATAGAACAGGTCTGAAACGGGGCAGGACAGGTCTGAAATGGGATAGAACCGGCCTAAAACAGGACAGGGCAGGTCTGAAACGGGGCAGGACAGGTCTGAAATGGGACAGGACGGGTCTGAAACGGGGCAGGACAGGTCTAAAGTGGGATAGAACAGGTCTAAAGTGGGATAGAACAGGTCTGAAATGGGATAGAACAGGTCTGAAACAGGAAAGGACAGGTCTGAAATGGGATAGAACAGGTTTAAAATGGGAAAGGACAGGTCTGAAATGGGACAGGACAGGTCTGAAACGGGGCAGGACGGGTCTGAAACGGGACAGGACAGGTCTAAAATGGGACAGGACAGGTCTAAAATGGGACAGGACTAGTCTGAAACAGGATAGAACAGGTCTAAAATGGGAAAGGAGAGGTCTAAAATGGGCTAGCTAGAACAGGTCTAAAATGGGACAGAACAGGTCTGAAATGGGACAGAGCAGGGCAGGCCCGAGGTGTTCTCAGTCTAAAACCAATACCAGGAGTTAAACCCTTGGCCTGGTCGCCCTGAGCAGACTGACAGGTCACAAGTGGCACTCAGTATTCTGTACAGCAGCCTCGAATTAAGGAAGATCCTTTGGGAATCAGCCCCCTGTGCCCACCATGGGACACCAGTGGTCTGGTTTGTGAAAGGATTCATAAAGTGTAGCAAGTATGTGGGGGTCTCTCGAGGGATTATTTAAATATATGCATTTAAAACAAGTTGAGAAAACCAAACCTAAGGAGTTGTGGTGTGTGTTGAGCACCACTGAAACACTCTCATGCCTTTAACCTCACTCCTTCAGGCCTCCCAAGGCACGGTACTGCAGTATTTCTCTTTTCTTTGGTATCCTGGACAAGTAGCCTTATGTACTGGTCTATGAATGCATCATTGTACCCTGCAATGCCAGCCAGGCTGCTCTGAGAGCCAGCCTGGGGGCTGGAAAGCCATATTGTATAGCAATTTGGTTTTTTTTAACCATATATGGATTTTTAATTGCATATTGTACAGATTTGGCATGTAAATAAATACATTTTTAAAAATAAAATTATTTAAAGTTCTTACTACATTTTTTTTTCCAATTTCTCTTCTATTATACTCAAACAGAAGAAATTCTGGGAGGAGAGGAGAACAGGGACACTTTAATTTCCTTCCTGAAGTTAGTGCTCCAAAGCTCAGTAGGACATGGTTTCTGCAGGTAAGACCCTGCCAGAAATCATTCTTTCAGCTCAACACACACAACCTGCTGTAGTCATTGTTAACAATCATGGCTTAATTGTTTCCCAAAGAAAGATACAAAAAGATGCTGCTCCCTCCAAATTCACAGGAGCTCTGTGGTAGCCCTTCCCAGAGATAAAGACTCACTTTGGGAAGATGGACAAATCCCTGAATTCAGGGGCCAGGACTGAGCTGGCCCTGAGTCTCACTGAGGGAGGGAGCTCAAATGATGCTCTGCTGAGGCACCAGGATGTGAATTCTGCAGTAATCCTGTTCCAAAATCTGCCTGGGGCAGCCAAGCCCACTGCTGAACTCAAGTCTTAGAAAACATTTTAAAATGCCCAGAGAAACAATAATGTCTTCATGTTTCCTTCTTCCTTTCCAACACGGCGGGAGGGTTAAAGATTTCCTTTAAATTCCTCCAGATCCCTTTGGAATAAATGTTTCTGTAGACGAGGGGTCTGGCACGAGGCTGTGAGGGGAGATGGGGGGAGCCCCCAAATCCTCGGGATTTGCACCATTCATTGGTGGTTTGGTTGGTGAGGGCCAGATACAGACTGAAGGAGCAATATCCCCCCAGCACGAGTGTGAGCAGGATGACAAACCCCAGCATGAAGACAATCCTAGGGAAAGTCAAGAAAAGGTGCTGCAGAGAAAGAGAAAAGTGAGTTAAAATGTGGGAGGGTTGAATCCCATGGGCACTGCAGAGCCCCAGCTGGAATGCACATCCCTGTGCACGTGGAACTGTGTCTGCATTCCAGGTGTGTCCTGCTTTAACACCTCCACAAGGTACCTCAGGGACTCTCAGCTGTTTCCTAAACTTCACTACCTCAGCTAATCATTGGAATGGAAATTCCTTCTCTATGAACCAGAGCTGCTGAGTGACAGATCCTGCAGACAGGAATCTGTAGGATGGGAACTGCTGTGAGAAAAACACCCCATTCCTGAAGTATTCAGCAGTGGCAGTTTTCTAAATCTAGTTACATGTATAAAACAGCAAAAACCCTGCAGCCTGTCCCAAACCCTGCAGCCTGTCCCCAACCCTGCAGCCTGTCCCAAAACCCTGCAGACTGTCCCAAACCCTGCAGACTGTCCCAAACCCTGCAGTCTGTCCCAAACCCTGCAGCCTGTCCCCAACCCTGCAGCCTGTCCCCAACCCTGCAGACTGTCCCAAACCCTGCAGTCTGCCCCAAACCCTGCAGCCTGTCCCCAAACCCTGCAGCCTGTCCCCACGCTGGAGAACACTGTTCCAAGCGCGCAGACAGAACACGGCACGGCACGGCCCGACCTGGACGAGGACGGGGATCTCCACGGGCTGCTCCTGTCCCTGGGCGTCCAGGTAGGTGCCGTGCATGACGTTGGAGAGCAGCAGCACCTGGGTGAGGAAGGCAGCGGTGACAGCAGCCACGGCGCCGGCGGTGGCCGTCAGGGACAGCAGGTAGAGCAGGAACGCGCCGGCGTTGCACGCCCCGATGCAGTTGTTCACCCACACGCAGTGGTGGTCGAAGCGGTGCACGCACGTCCTGCACACACCTCGAGAGGCAGGGGCAAAACAAGAGTCTTGGCACTCTGTCCTTCAGTGAGCAGTTTGATCTTTGTGTGCTTTTTAAGATGAAAATACGTGGGAGTTGCAGTCGGGGTTTAGCTGACGGCAACCTTGAATAAATTCAATTGTGTGTATCCTAAGAAAAACAACGTATTCCATTTCCTCTTTTATTCACCCAGACTGCTGCTCCAAGACTTTGCTTTCTCTGACAGTACTGCCTGGCAAAGCACCTGGGAGGCAGAGATGAGAGCTCCCACCTTTATTTTAGATGATAAAAAGAGGTGGTGGAATTCTCATCCCTGGCAGTGCTCCAGGTCAGGCTGGCAGGGCTTGGAGCACCCTGGGCCAGTGGAAGGGGTCCCTGCCCCTGGCAGGGGGTGACATGAGATGGGCTTTAAAGATCCCTCCCTGCCCAAACCATTACAGGATTCTGTGGCTATGAAACAGAAAATCCTGATCTGACGTCATGGCAGGTGATAATTTCTCATTTATAATTCCAGCTGCTCACAAGCTCAGCTGTTCCTGACCCTGAATGATCCCTCAGAACTGGTAATTTCTGTGAGAAGAAACAGCACCCAACCAGCTCCAGGGATGGGCAAATGCAGCTGTGACCTGGGACCCCAGGAAAACAAACACAGCCCTGTGAGCACTGAGCTGGTAACAGAACAGCTGTAGTGGGAACTGCAGCTCCTGGGGGAGAATGCCTTTGGGAAGGTCTTACTGCCATGGTGATCAAGGAATTTCGGATCCTTACTGCAGTGCTTGGACCTGGCTGGTTTCTGCACGGTGCACGTGGGACACACGAGGCCTCTCTGAAACAACACCCCATCGTAGGCATAAACCTCAGCCAGGGAGGCAGCGTTGGACTTCGTTACTGCACCTGCCAAAGAGGCAAGAAACAGAACTAAAAGATGGCATTTGTAGCACTTTTTTTCTGTTTTCAGAGCATGAGTGTGGTCTTACCAGGGTTGGCCCGGGAGCAGAGCAGGAAGCAGCCCAGGTTGCCAGCCAGCAGCAGGTAGGGCAGGAGCAGCAGGAGGAGGTGGAACTGCAGCTCCCAGCAGTACACAAACACCTCCCAGGTGTACTCCACAAACACTGCAGCCTGCAGGGCCACGTGCAGGACCACAAACAAACAGCTCCTGCAGGGCAAAGGGGACAGCCTAGTTAACATCAGCATCCTGATTAACAGGTCAAGTACACTCAGAGGTGATCAAAGACTTTCCAAATGCAAGGAGACACCTCTTTTAGGTTTTCAGGCCAGCTTGGATTGTATATTAATAGTGTTTTCTCCATCCACTGGCTTCTCCTTCTCTTCTTCCCACATATACTCCTTTAAATATGTCAGCTAAATTCCCTGCTTTGTTCACATGTCCTTTGGATGTTTTTTCCCTGTCAGTACAAAGTCTTATAATCTCTCGCTGCTGACAAAATATGCCACAGCAATAGGCCACAAAGCATTCTGCCACAAGACATTTGCTACTCTGAAAGCAAAGAAAAAGCCCCCAAAATAATCTTCAAAACTGTGCAATAATGGAACCAGCTGTCAGGAAATAAGGGTGGCAGGAGGTGGGCAGTGAGCACCAGTTCCAGAGCATGTGGAGAATCCCAGCACCTCTGACAGTGTTAGAGCAGAGGATCAGCAGAACAGGCACTCCCAACACAGCTGCAGATTTACAGCCCTGAAGTCACTGTCACAGCGAGCTGCTGTCCCCAGAGAAAAGGTATTTAAATCCTTCCTGAGGCACCAGAGTTTACAGACACACAAAATCCACCTGGATCCAGCAGGCTGCTGGGCAGATTCCCCCTCAGCCACCTGCAGAGCCAGGCTGGACTGAGACTAATGGGATTTGAGGGAGAGGATGGAGACTGAGAGTGTCTGACTCCATCTGCAGCTGCCACAGAGGCTGTGGTAATTCCTGTGGGGCTGCAGGATCCCACCAGCGTGACCAACATCTGTTACTGAGCCACGTTATCCTCATTTGTCAACGTGTTCAAACATTTCTGGGTACCACCCTCTGAACAAGGAGCCAGGCAGGCAGAGACAGCAGTGTGGCAAACCTCCCAGGGAATCTGTAACCCCTGACAGGCATCCCAAATGGACACAGAACGTCTGAGGGTAACACTGAGAGCTCTGATGGTCCAGGAGATCCCAGCAGCAACCAGAAATCAGAGTAAAAACGAATGGCAAAGGCATGGAAGTGCAATACCTGGTGTGGAAGAGCCTGTGCAGGGCCCGCTGCGTCACCCTCTGCAGCTGCCTGGGGACCAGCAGTGACAGCACCTGGGGAAACGAAGCTCTGTGTTACCTGGCCAGCCCTGCTGCCTCGGGGCAAGCTCAGGTTTAAGTGCAAGTCCCTCACCCCTCAGCACAGCCCCAGCACTGGGCAGGAGGGCTCATTTTCAGGAGTTTCTCTCCACAGAATCAAAGGTGGGAGAGACCTTCGTAACGTCCAGCCATGACACATGGAATCACAGAAGGCTGGACGAGCCCTTCAGGCTCCTCGAGTCCCAGCTGTGACAGATCCCCACCTTGTCCCAGCCCAGAGCTCTGAGTGCCACCCTCAGTCCTTCCTTGGACACTCCCAGGGATGGGCACCCCAAAGCTCCCCGGGCAGTTCCCATGCCTGAGCCCCCTCTCCATGAGGAGGGAAGAGAGGCAGGAATGCTGCTGGGGTTTTCCACAGGGGGCTGAGGTTCCATACCCCTGGGAGCCCCCCAAGCAAACATATCTGGGTTAATGTGTGAAAGTTCTAAGGAGCTTAGGGTGGGCTCAGGGCTGGGCTGAGTTAAGCAGGGGATAGAACTGAGCAATCCCCCAGCTGCAATATGCTCCCTCATCCCATCTGACAGGCCGGGGGGAGATAAGCAAAGGGATAAAGCTTGTGGCCTCCAGAAAAGAGAGGGGGAAAAAAAATCCCACGAGCCATCCAAACCCCAAAAATGCAGTTTGTGCAGCTCCAGCCCTGCCCCAGCCCCACGGCCCCGTGTCTAATTGCCCTTTCCAGCACAGCTGGCCGTGCTGCAGGAGCTGCCCCTGCTCAAGGAGTCCCTGGGGCAGGGATGAGCCTGAGGAATGGCTGCTCCCAGTGACAGTCTCCATAGCAACCCAGGAATTAGAGGGGCTGTGCCTATTTCTAGCTGACACGGAGAGAAAATATGCAGTGAGAGCTTCTTGCCTCAGATGTGAAAGACCAGCAGGCAAAAAGCATATGTGGAGCTGAGAGGATGCTAAATATTTGGGTGTGAACCGGCGCGTCTCAGCTCGGCGGCTCGAGGGTTTGCAAAAAAAAGGTTGTTTTTTTTTTTTTTTCCAAGAGGAAACACAAACCCAGCGAAAAGAACCTGCAGGAAACCTCAGCACTCTGCAGGGTAATGCCAAGTGCCCTGAGCTGCTCCCCCATGGCCCCTCCAGGCCCTTCAGCACCCCCTGCCCATCCTCTGGGTGCTCTCTAGGGGCTTCAGACCCTCCTGACATTCTGGGCTTTGCATTGCATTGCTCCTCATCTCACAATCATTTATCTGATGTTGTGACCTTGCACTCAGCATTGCCTGTATTCATATCCCAGGTAAAATATTGATTGTGTCCACATGGATTTATTTCCCAGGCACAAGTATTGACTGGATTCCTCCAGACAGTGGCTTCACACCACAGCAGGAATTTAATTGCTGCTGTTTAAACACTTCATAGCAGCAGCTATTAAGATATGGAGGGAAAAAATTCAATTTCTCTGCACAGTGTGTCTATAAACCAAAAGGAAGTATAATACCAGTAATAAAAAAAAGTCTGTCTGAACTCCTGTGAACAGCATTAAACATAATTTACAATTTAAGTGATAATTTTCTCATCCTTTACCTTCCAGAAACATTACAGCATTTTTTTTTCCCTTTTCATTCAGACACAGCCCAACAGACAGAAAAATGAACTGGTGCTTTCCCAATTCCCCATTTTTACAATAAAATGCCAATTCTTAATCCTCTTTTAAAGCTCTTCATTCCTGCTTCTTTCTTAGAGAACAAGAGCCTGCAGCATTAGCACACACATTAAAGAGCTTTCCCTCAAATATCTGCCACCACTTAGAATTCTCTCCCTATTTTAATCCTCAAACCTCCCCCACCTTTTTCCTCTTGGTGACAGCAGCAATACCACAAAACTGCAAACTCCTGGGGCCCGATTCTTATTTAATTTTTCCAGGCTGTGCTGTGCTGTTAGTGAAAAGGCACTCCTGCCACGGTGAGAAGCTCCATCCTCACCCCAGGCAGGGATGGGAACTGGGAGACCCAAAGGATTTTTACCACCTGCTTGGGCAGGGTTTAACCAACCCAAAGGAAGTGCATTTCTGCTTCTATCTCACTTCCTTGAGAGCAGGCATTAAAACAGGATGAAATACATTGTCACCCTGACCACACACACCGGCTTTTTTTTTTTTTTTTTTTTTTTTGAGAACAAATACAGCCGTTGCACTAATTTTAGCACAAAAGCAGGGCAGACGGGCAGGAGGGGAGCTGCTCACCCCCCTGGAGGCGCAGCGCTTTACCTGGCCGGCCCTGTTGGCACTCCTGGTGAGGAAGCTCTCCTTCCTCCCCGAGCACAGGCACAGCAGGGCACCGACGGCGAGCACGGAGCACAGGTACAGCACGAAGAGCGTCAGGAAGTCCATCCCGAGCCCTGGAAGGGAAAGGAGCCGCTCTTGGACCCCGGGGTGCCCGTCCTGCAGCAGAGCCCGGCACTCCCTGAGCCCAGGGATGGAGCAGCCCCTCCGGCAGCAGCGAGGGCACTGCTCGGGGCATCCCCGAAACAGAAACATCCCCAAATCCTTCGGGCTGGAAAAAGCCTCGCAGCCCATGGAGCCCCAGCTGTGCCCCATGCCCAGAGCTCGGAGTGCCACCTCCAGGAATTCCTGGGCACCTCCAGGGATGGGCACTCCCAACTCCCCAGTGCCTGAGCCCCCTTTCCATAGAGAAATTCCTGCCGTGCCCACCCTGATCCTGCCCAGAGCTCGGAGTGCCACCTCCAGGAATTCCTGGGCACCTCCAGGGATGGGCACTCACAACTGCCCAGTGCCTGATCCCCCTTTCCATGGGGAAACTCCTGCCGTGCCCACCCTGAGCCTGCCCAGCCCAGCCTGAGTTCCCTCTCCTGTCCCTGTTCCCTGGGATAAGATCCCAAATCCCCCCGGCTGTCCCCTCCTGGCAGGAGCTGTGCAGAGCCAGAAATCCCTCCTGATCGCCCTTTTCTCCAGGCTGAGCCCCTCCCCAGCTCCCTCAGGAATCCCCCAGCCCCTCCCCAGCCCCGTTCCCTTCCCTGGCCACGCTGCAGCCCCGGGTGCCACCGGGGCCAGCCCGAGCAGCGCAGCCCGGCGGAAGCGGCGCCGCTCCGGTTCCCGGTGCTTCCAGCGCCCTCCGGCGCCCCGGCGGGAACGGGGCACAGCACGGCCCGTACCGCGGAGGCCGAGGAGCAACGAAGCCGTAAAACCACCCGTGAAATCAGCCCGTGAGCCCCGCAGCCCCGGGCAGGCCGGCACCGTGCGAGCCCGGCGCGGATGCTGCGCGGATGCTGCGCTGCCTCCCGCTGCTCTCGCCCGTCCTGTGCCGTTCCTTAGCAATGGCCAGAAATTCCTGCAGCCTCGCGGCCTCTGGTGGAGTCCCTAAAGCAAAATTCCCGTGCCTTCCCCGAGCTGCGAGCACGGCATTCCCCGGTAACCCGGGTCCCCCCGTGCCGCAGGTGAGGGGGGCTCGCTGCCGCACCTGCCGGTCTCACCTGGGAGCGCGCAGGATGCAGGATGCAGGATGCGGTCCCTCCGGGCCGGTGACACCTGAAACCGCCGGGGCCGGTTGGGTTACGGGGCTGGGACCTGCCAGAGAAACGCTCCGGTGGCGGCCGCGCCGCCCATCCAAAGGCTCCCGAAGCGCTGGGATGCTTTTCCCAGCAGCTGTGCCGCTGGCTGCAGCTCGGACAGCACAGGTAAGCCTTCCAGGGATGCTCCAGGGGCTTCGGCCAAAGAGGAGATGAATCGTCTTGGTGGGAGGCAGGAGAGGAGCTGGAGTTTCAGGAAGAGTCTCTTTTTTTCCCCCTTGGTAAGCCCGGTGCAACAAACAGGACATGAGAGGGAGAAACGCAGCCAAAATATTCCTGGGGCACAGCTGTCTTGGAGTGCAGCCCAACACACTTGGGTCCTGATGGAGGATGGAGGGGAAAAAAACATTTTCCCCCATCCTGTTGAGACAACAGAATTTCTGCAGGTACAAAAACAGCTTGGCTTGGGTCACTGGCTGTCACCTGGCAAGCCTGGCGGCACAGAAGGGGCTGGGGTGGGCACCAGGGGGTTTATCTGTGGGGGGACATGCAGGGTGCGTGTGCCACGGTCCCTGGGCACAGCCAGGCCGGGAGCTGCAGGGAGAGCAACCACAAAGGGACTGGCAGCAGCACTGCAAGGGAGCTGCCACTCTCGGTGCCCTCACAGGCTGTGCTCAGGGACAGCCAGCCAGAGGCTGAGACTCGGGGGGATGAAGCTCGTTCAGTCCGAGCACTGTGGAAATCACCCGGAGAGTCTCATCTGGTCAAAGTCTGGCAGAAGGTCTGAATGGAAGCCGCATGCATTCACTCGGGATCCCAGAACTCAGCTCTTTCGAGGATTGAAATTTGCTGTCGGTGTTTAAAGTGCTCAAGTCAGTTAAAAATGGAGGGAAAAGAGGCAATTACCTCAATGGCTGAACAACAACAACAAAAAGGGAATTAATTGCAGTTTTAACTGTTTGGGCAGGGAATGGTAACAGAGATGCTGAGTTTGTAGGAGCTGTGTGTGTCAGTGTCAGCACGGGAGGACAGATGCCCCAAATTCCCTGGGATTGCTCAGAAGGAGATTTGTGCAGGAGAACCTGCCAGCTGCAGGGGGCAGGAGGAGCAGGAAGAGGAGGAAGAGGTGGGTTTCAACCCCCTGAAGCAGTGACATGACCACAGAGGTCCCGAGCAGGAGGAAAACCCCGCAGCTCTCCTTGCCCAGGCCGTGCCCAGCCCCATGCCAGCTGTGCCAGCTGTCCCGGGGAGGTTTCCCAGCCCATCCATCGCCGCCGGCGGTCACGGCGTGGTCCATGGAGAGATGCAGACGCCCCTCCCGCTGGAGCCGCAGCAGGGCGTGTAATTCCCTAAAACCTCTTAGCGTGCTAAGCCCTGGCATCCCTCGGTGCCGAGGAAGCCGAGGAGAAAATCAGAAATAGCAGCTTAAGGGACAGTCGGTGCCAGCGCGGGGGGCTCTGCGGCAAAACGCTCGGCTGCTCCCCCCCGCCAGGACCCCACGCACGGAGCAGCCTGGGGACAGCTCTGCTGGCTGGGGACAACTTTCTGCCTGGGACAGCTCTCCTGCCTGGGGACAGCTCTCCTGCCTGGGGACAGCTCTCCTGGCTGGGGACAGCTCTCCTGCCTGGGGACAGTTGTCCTGCCTGGGGACAGCTCTCCTGCCTGGGGACAGCTCTCCTGCCTGGGGACAGCTCTCCTGGCTGGGGACAGCTCTCCTGCCTGGGGACAGTTGTCCTGCCTGGGGACAGCTCTCCTGCCTGGGGACAGCTCTCCTGCCTGGGGACAGCTCTCCTGGCTGGGGACAGCTCTCCTGGTGAGCCCCAAAGCCCTCGACCCCCAAACCGCTGCAGCAATCCAGGTGTAGGCTGTAGTCCCGGCCCCTCGGTGTGTCACTGACCCGTGCCGAGGTCCCGGCTCGCCCCGCTGGCCCCGGCGCTGGCCCCGCTCTCCGCACGGCGCTGTCGCTTCGCATTTGCCCTGCGGGTGAAGGATTTCCCTCCACGGGCACTAATCTGTTTTCCCTCCTTCCAGCTCCTAATTCCCCCCAGATCTGCAGGCTCAGGTCAGCACCAGGCTCAGCCAGGACGAGCACGGCAATTAGTCTGCCCGCGCTCCTCTGTGCGGTGGAAATAAAGTTAATTAGGAAAGGAAAAGGCCAGAAAAGACCTTAGTGCGTGTGTGGCGCTGAGCTGGAGCGGCTGGCAGGGCGCAGGGCTCCCGTGAGAAGGCCGGGAAGGGGCAGCCACCCCCTGCCCGCTGTGTCCCGGTGCCACGGCAGCCGTTCCACCGCCCCGGAGCGGCCCCCAGCCCCGGGGGCTGCAGCGAGAGCGGGGGAGCCGGGAAGATGCTCCCGGGAGCCTTGCGGGTACATGGGAAGCGCTTGCCGGGGTGATGGAGGAGAGTCAGGAGAGCTCCGAGCCCTCGGTGGGACAAAGCTGCCGCCGCTGAGAGCCCCCGGCGTGCCCGGATGGCCGCGGAATTCTGTAAGTGCCGAGGGGCGGCCAGGAGGAAGGGGTGCAGCTCCCCGGGCGCTGGGACCGTCCCAGGGCTCGCTGGGCTCCCGCTGAGGCTGTCAGGATTCCTGCTCAGCAGCCCCGGGGATGGGGTTTGGGCACAGGTGGGTTCATCCCGCTGCTGCCAGGCTTGCCCCGTGCTCCACTCTCAGCTCTTTCCTCAGAGTCTCAGTCTCTGTAAGATGGTTTGCCCAGGTGAAATTGTCTGCGTTTCATTTTCCTAAGTGCTTAATGTGTGCTCAGATGGAATAAACACGGGGGTTAAAAAGCACCTTCACATACAGCTGAGATCAAACCCAGGGGAAAACCGGGTGTGCATTACTTTAGTGAGTGTCAGCACTCACACACCGCAGAACCACAGAACGGGAGGGTGGGAAGGGACCATGGCAGGGTCACCTGGGCAGCACAGCTTGGAGAGGGCATCCGAGGGCACTGTGCCCGTCAGCTGGCCGGGTTCCCCTCGGGCAAAGACGACTCCTGCAGATGTTCAGGGCCGATGTGCCCGATGTCTCCTGGAGCAGCCGTGGAGCCAGTCCAAACCCTTCACGTGAACCACAAACAAGCCTTGCTGAAAGCCATCATCCTGCCATTTCGGGATTTCGGGATGCTGCCGTCAGGACAGCTCAGACACGGGACTGAGAGGGCACACAGAAATGACCCTGGGAGAGCTGAGAGGATCTGGCTAATTCTAATGAATTTACAGTAATTTTGTAGTGGCAAACAGATAAAATACAGACTGTTGAGAAGGGCTGGTTAAAATCAAACTGGTTTAAGTCCTTGGATCCTCTGTTCATTAATGTATGAGAAATTAATCATGTCTCTGACATTCGTCATATCAGAGAAATGAACTAATCATTTTGATAGGTAAAAAAATACAAGAAGATGCCTAAATGGGGCTCCTGGGGAAGGGGGCAGGTGGGTGCCCCAGCTGAGACCAGGGCTGTGCCAGGTCACATCTGAGTGCCACGTGTAGCCCCAACCTCCCCAGCATTCCCTCCTCGATGGCCCTGCCAGCAGCCAAAGATAGAGTAAAGCTGTTATTTTAAGGAAATCTAGAGGAAATACAGGCTCTTGGGGCGTTTCTTCCCACGGGGAGGGGGACACAGCACACACCATTACCCCCCACCCGATGGGCTCCACACGGCATCTACAGGAACGACCCCAAAGGATGGAAAAGCCACCACAACTCCTCTCTTTCCCTCCTTCTTTTCCAGTCGCAGCCATGCCGGCAACCAACCAGGGCTGGCCCGAGTCCTTCGGGTTCCGGATAAGCGGCTCCGGGCCGTGCTACATCCTCTGGGTGCAGGAGGGCAGCAGCGCGGCGCTGGCGGGGCTGCGCCCGGGGGACGAAGTGCTGGAGATCGAGGGCCAGCCCGTGTCCTCCCTGGGCTGCGAGGCGCTGCTGGGGCTGGCCCGGCGCTGCCACAACGTCCCCCCGAGCATCGGCGTGGTGTCGCGGCTGCAGCACGCCAGCATCCCCCCCGGGCCTCGGGGATGCTTCGGCTTCGAGGTGGCGAGCGAGAGCCCCCCGCGGGTGGCCAGCGTGAGCCCCGAGTCGCCGGCAGCGGCCTGCGGGCTGCAGCCGGGGGATTACCTGCTGCAGGTGGACGGGACCCCGGTGGAGCTGCCGGAGGTGGCGGCCGAGCTGGTGGGGTCGTGCCGCGGGCGGACCCTGAGCCTGGCGCTGCTGCGGCCGCAGCGCGGGGACACGGCTGGGGACACGGCTGGGGACACGGCTGGGGACACGGCTGGGGACATGGCTGGGGACACGGCTGGGGACACCGCCGGGGACACCGCCCGGGACCCCGCGGCCAGCGGCGGCTCCGCGCGCCGGGACAGGAGGCAGAAGGCGCAGGAGTTCAGCAGGAAGGTGAGGCCGGGCTGTGGGGTAAGGGGTCGGGGTGCTGGGCACCCCCTGTGGGGGATTGTCACCTCCAGCCTTGGTGGGGAATGCTCCTGTTGGTCACGGGGCTGGGGTGCAGCTCTGCGGCATGAGCACCCCAGAGAAGGGTCTGGTCATTGCCTGGGGGGACAGATGGGCGCTGCAAAGGGCTTG